CTAAATCAGTGGTTCCCAACCGGTGATGCGCTGAGAGTTAAAAATGATTAGTGAATTAAATTTAATAGTTATGGACACATAGCTTGTAGTTTGTCAACTGAGACCTCACTTATTAGAAAGTATGCATAAAAAACTTTTAAATAAAAATAAAATAAACCTATTTTATGCCTATATAAAGTGCCTATGCACTTTTATAGTTCATTATATATTATACCAGAGATGCATAAAGCATATTAAAATAATTATGAAGATTATTTAAACTTTGTGGGCTCTACTAAAAACAGAAATATCATAGAGTCAAAAAAAAGTTGAAAATTACTAGTCTAAATTTTAAAAACTGAAGTTGTAAACTATAACAAATTACAAAAATATTTCTTTTATGTTAGTCTTCTGATATTATTACATCTATTATATTCACTATAATTATTATATATTTTTAGATAAGATTTAACACAAGTATATCGTAATTAAGTTTTTGTATTAATATTCATTGAATAAATTTTTTTTTTTTATTTACAGATTTTATATATATAAGGTAAGTTTGCAAATAGAGTATAAAATACATATTAATAATTTTTGTGATATTTCCATTTAACACTTACAAATTTGGGATACAAAAAATAATCATGCAACAATTAGCATAAAAAATATTTGAAATTACTTTTGTAATTAAGTAATTGTCATTAAATAATTAAATCGCGAAATTTATTTAAATATCATATGTTCTATTTACAATAAATTATAGAAAAGTTAGTATACATTATGTACCTATTCACTCTGCAAGCTAAAATCTTTTAAGAATCGGTTTATTTATTAAATTCTGTGAACTAAGTTTTTTTCAAGTCCTAATTTGTTTATAGCTGTCCCTAATCGTTAATTGTATAATTGAAAATTCGAAAAGCTATCAAACTAAATACAATCAGCTGCTTTTCTTTAGTAGCACTGAACTGAGTTAGCTGATAGACTCTATAAGTCAACATCTTAATCTATTTTAACATTTCAAAAAAATATATCTGTCTAGCTTTTTGTTGACAGATAGACTTTCCGGATTCTATTTGAGTCGGGAAGAGAATAGTAGTCCGGGGTTTTTCCAGAAATCATATAAATTTAATCTCTCCAGAAATCTGAGTCATAACATTTAATCATTGAAACTATTTCCGTTATTTTTAATTATGATCACTTGATTCCACAAAAGATTTCTTATGATCACAATACTTTCTTCTGCTGGTCGTGCTGACTTCTGTCACATTTTTTATTTATTATTTGGTTTTAAACATAGAATAATTGGACTACTTTGCTGTATTAAGAAGTGGTAGTTCCTTAAAGACAAGAGCTTTTAATATCGTTTTGTAGTTATTATTATAACTAGTATATATTGTAGCACAACACAGTATTTACTAGACAATAGAATAGAGCTACAAGATATACTAAATTTCTAAATGTAAAATATATTAATAGATCATAATTAATAGATCATATTGAGGAGCGCAGTACTACAACGTATGTCTAGTTTATGTACATTTTTCTAAAACGGTCAATTTCATTTCTTGTCTCTTAATGACCGAACTTAGCGATCGCGTAAATAATTGTTAATATGTTTATTTTTTTAAAGATATGGTTTCATGGATCATATGTTTTGCATCCAAATTACGAAATATCTTAGAATAATAATATGAGCGACAATACAAGAATGAAATAAAAATTATCAAGGCTGGGAAAAATTGTTTGAGGCTGTTTAAGTGACCGCACAGTTTTGCTGTTGCATGGAAGTTGATAAATAAATCGCATGTGTAGAGATAAGAAGAACTGCCAATGGAACATGTGTGTGCGATTATTACCTCATAATTTTACAGGCCACTCTAAATTATGTTAAATGTTAGTTAAGTAAATATTTCGTTATTATATTATTTGACATAGTTAAATAAATGATATAAAATATTAGATATTTATTTTAAAATATATGTACTGTAATAAATTAAATATGTTCATTAAGATTTAAATCAAGAAAAAAATATCCATATAACTCTGTTCACCTAAGAAGAAATGTATTACGAAGTCAATGCATCTCAGCTCAGAGCTTTATGAGAAACCGAAATTTGAATCCAAGTCTGTCTGTATGGTTCCATTTTAGTTGGTTCACAGCGTTTCAACTTCTTCTTTTCACTGAATGTGAGTTAAACACAACAAAAAAAAAAAAATAATAATAAAAATGTATATTTAAATAAACTTTTAAACCGTAATTTGTCATAAAATTTGCTTTTGTGTATGCGTGTGTACGCATGCTGATGATCGTAAATTTTTTTTCGAATCCGAATTTGGTTCATGCTGCAATTACGGAAAACAAGTAGCGTTTGCAACATTTTAAGCATCAAAAAATCTTTTATTTCTGGTGTCTTACTTTTACGAATGCTATTTAAATCGTACGAACTTCTGTTTCTCAGCACCTTTTAACCTTAGTACGTCCTCTTCGTTGTGGTGCCCAAAACAGATAAAACCGAAACATGATCTGCAACTTCTCTGCTGCTTCACAGAGACATCATTTCCATTGAGTTTGCTTGGATTTCATCGTATATGGTGTACACTTAAATGGGTAATTGTGAACTTGTTTCATTATTTTTGGACAATTTCTTTTGGTTTTTTGATGTTTTAATTACGTTGCAAAAGTGTCATTAAACGACATTTAATGAGTACTTACACGAATACGTGCAGGTATAATTGGCCCAGACCATCGACATCATGTGAGAGTTTTTCACATATTTGTATGTAAAAATGAATGTTAAATTTTATGTTAGAAATATGATAGATATGATTTTTTTCTCATACATACTATATGTTCAAGTTTAAACGAGGTTAATTTTTGAAATACATTTCAGGCAGTTAATCTTACGAAAAATTTATTCTTGCTATCATGCTTTTTTATGAAAAACAAAAAAACTCAATAAATTATTTAGTGAGATACAGGAGATACAGTTTCATATTTATTTATTTTATTGGATAAATTTATAAATAAATTTTTATTTTATAAGAATTTCATTAAATGAATAACATGTCTAAATTAAAATATAAAAGATATTTAATTATTTTATGAATTTATTTATGGATCTGTTTATTAAAATGGTTTTTCATATATTTTTTAATCTGGCTGTAGGTTCCTTTTTGTTAAATAATTCAACGTTTAATATTTTTTATTATACTTCATATTTCGATTCTCTTTGAGAGTCACCATCAGGATTACGATCTTCTATAAGTTAATATTATTAAAACTACATATACGTCATCCTCTTTGTTCTTTCGTCTATATTGCACCTACAGACAAATTAAAAAATATGTAAAAAACCATTTTAAATATTTTATTTATTTATATTGTATTATATTTATTTATTTATTATTTAAATATTTTAATATTTTATTTAAATATTTAATTTAGAAAAATTAAGATTAATTTATTGAATAAGAAACTATCAACAATGACTTTCAATGGTCACCAGAGTCCACAAACATTAATTTCGTAAATAGCCAGACCTCTACGACGACATACTTAGAATATTGCCATATTTATACAATATAACATATGACATTACTCTACAATATTGACAATATTGTCATGTAGAGGTACTTGTACTTATGCTTATAACTTCAATCATTACGTAGCGTGACATGAAAGAGATTATATATTGTTTACAATTTGCAGACAGTAGTTCAACATCAGTACTTTAGAACTTGTTTCAAAAGTTTATTTTAACACGATAAACTCTAAATAGTTATAGATATTTAAAATATCAAATAAACTATTCGATAAGATTCTTAATATTCCTAAAAGGTCTATGAAGGACCATTGATTTAGCAGTTTATAATACACATCAAATTTTTAATTGTAGGAATTATGATGGATTATTATTACCAGGTATGTTATATTCTAGGTACAACTTTGACTTAAAGAACCCACAGTACTATAGCTGTCTCAATGCTGACAATGATTTTCTTAAAGTCTATAAGCAGGCAATGAAAAGTGAGATCCTAAAGTTTTCTCTGTTAGTACATTCGGCTTTTAATATAAAATCGTTAAATCCTTGCAAACTATATAGAAGAAATGTCGCCTTT